TATATATATATATATATATATATATATATATATATATATATATATATATTTAAATTTTTATATGTATATTTATATTTATATATATTATTTTTTTATTTATATATATTTATAATTTTTATTTGTATATATTTATATTCTTATTTGTATATATTTATATTTTTATTTGTATATATTTATATTTTTATTTATTTATATTTATATTTAATTATATATATATTCATATTTATATATTTATATAGTTATATATTTATATAGTTATATATTTATATAGTTATATATTTATATAGTTATATATTTATATATTTATATATTTATATAGTTATATATTTATGTAGTGATATAGATATATATTTTTATATTTATATAGTTATATATTTATATATACATTTATATATACATTTAGAAATGTAGTGATATAGATATATATTTTTATATTTATATAGTTATATATTTATATATACATTTATATATACATTTAGAAATATATTTATATATATATTTATACATATTTGTATATATATATTTTTTATATTTATATATATAAATGTTTATATATATAAATGTTTATATATAAATGTTTATATATATAAATGTTTATATATATAAATGTTTATATATATAAATGTTTATATATAAATGTTTATATAAAAATGTTTATATATATATATATATGTTTATATATATAAATGTTTATATATAAATGTTTATATATATAAATGTTTATATATAAATGTTTATATATAAATGTTTTTATATATAAATGTTTTTATATATAAATGTTTATATATATAAAAGTTCATATATATAAAAGTTTATATATATAAAAGTTTATATATATAAAAGTTTATATATATAAATGTTTATATATATAAATGTTTATATATATAAATGTTTATATATATAAAAGTTTATATATATAAAAGTTTATATATATAAAAGTTTATATATATAAAAGTTTATATATATAAAAGTTTATATATATAAAAGTTTATATATATATAAAAGTTTATATATATAAAAGTTTATATATATAAAAGTTTATATATATAAAAGTTTATATATATAAAAGTTTATATATATAAAAGTTTATATATATAAAAGTTTATATATATAAAAGTTTATATATATAAATGTTTATATATATAAAAGTTTATATATATAAAAGTTTATATATATAAATGTTTATATATATAAAAGTTTATATATATAAATGTTTATATATATAAAAGTTTATATATATAAAAGTTTATATATATAAAAGTTTATATATATAAAAGTTTATATATATAAAAGTTTATATATATAAAAGTTTATATATATAAATGTTTATATATATAAATGTTTATATATATAAAAGTTTATATATATAAAAGTTTATATATATAAAAGTTTATATATATAAAAGTTTATATATATAAAAGTTTATATATATAAAAGTTTATATATATAAATGTTTATATATATAAATGTTTATATATAAATGTTTATATATAAATGTTTATATATATAAATGTTTATATATAAATGTTTGTTTATATATATAAATGTTTGTTTATATATATAAATGTTTGTTTATATATATAAATGTTTGTTTATATATATAAATGTTTGTTTATATATATAAATGTTTGTTTATATATATAAATGTTTGTTTATATATATAAATGTTTGTTTATATATATAAATGTTTGTTTATATATATAAATGTTTGTTTATATATATAAATGTTTGTTTATATATATAAATGTTTGTTTATATATATAAATGTTTGTTTATATATATAAATGTTTATGTATATATTTATTTATATATATATATATATATATATATATATATATATATATATATATATATATATATATATAATAACAATAATCAGTTTAGTATGACTTGATTGCAAAGCGGAAATAGGGTTTACATATTTCTTTTCTAGTAAATACTATATATTTATTTAAAATAATTTTCTGCAATTATTGTTATTTTCATGTTGCAATTACATATAGAATACCTATTATAACTTTTACTGTGATTTGTTACTACTTCTAGTGATAATATTATATGTATTTTATATAATAGTATAACTATCATTACTTACTAATAATGCTAGTAATGTTAGTAATAATGTCACTATCTCTACTATCACTACAAGTACTACTACTACTGCTGCTACAGCTGCTGCTACTGTCAGTGATAGTAATGTTTAATGATGGTTATTTCTTTTGTTACAACTATTACAACTATTGATATTACTAGCACTACTGCCCTTTTTATTATAATTAATGTTTTTCCCTCTTTTACTACTGTTACCAATGCAACTATTGTCACTACTTTGAAAAAGGTATTATTCTTACTACAACTATAGCAATAGCAACTGTAACAGATTACTAAATTACTACGAAAACTACAATTGTAGTATGTTATTACTATTATAACTGCAACTGTAGTAAAGTGCTACTTTTCCAAAACCCAAAATTAAAAGTGAAACTAAATTTGCTTGCAGGTTTTATGATGGTTAGCTTCATGAAGTATGACTGAGAATGCATATACATAGATGAAGTAAAGTCTGTTTCATATGGAAAAACTTTGAAAAAGAGTTTTAGACGGTATTCTAATTTTTGCAAATGGCTCACGAAATTCATCAAGGCATGATTCCTCGCGATGAGTACATGCTCCCACATACTGTGCTCATGGACACAAGTCACAGAGGAGTTGCTGATCGAGACCTCTCACCTTCAGCCAATGGTATAATGGCTATTACCTCACTGTCACAGAAAAGACCCTCTTCTTCTGCCTCAGACATCAGGGATACCAAAAAACACAGGACAAAGTCTCTTCATTTCACATGTACAGTGGTCAATTGTGGAGAGAAGTTCAGCACTAATGAGCAGCTAGAAACACATATGAAATTACATGTAGGGGTCAAGCCTTTTACCTGTGAAGTCTGTGGCAAGGTGTGCCAGACAGAGAGCAAGTTGAAAGCTCACCAAGCATCACATGCATCAGATGGCATCAAGCCTGTGTGTGAAATATGTGAAAGAAACTTTTCAAGTCGTAGTGCTTTAAACAAACACAAAAAAATGCTTCATAAACCTAAGCCCCACATATGCCCACATTGCAACTCAGGATTTGAAGAACGTAAATATATGATAATCCATGCTAAAAGGGCTCATGATGCTGATGTTCCTCTTGAAGAAATGCAGTCTACCTCATCAATTACCTTTGATGTCAGTAACTTTGAAGCGACTGCTGGTTCAAATGAGTGTAAAGATCTCTATAAAGGCAACTATTCAATGCCTGTTGAAACCAATACTGTTCATGATTCATCCATGTCAAATAGCTCTGCTGAAACCCAGAAAGACCATACTCTGCCAAATCAGACTGATAATACCTCTTTGGCCAAAAAGGCAGAGCCAAACTCTCATGCAGTATGTGCTACAATAGCATGTGAATTATGCACATCAACTTTCCCATCTTTAGCTTACCTGGAGCAACATATGGCTGTACATGTAGGAGAGAAGAATTTCACATGCCACGTCTGTGGGATGAGTTTCAATGGACGCCTTGATCTGAATAGCCATATGAGGCTACACACGCCCGAGAATGACTGTACAAATTTTGGTACCAATAACTATAATAATGGAAATTACAATCAGTTTCCTACCAACCAAATGCATCCAGGGCAAGGTAGAGGTCCACAGCTATTTTACAGATATGCATGTGCTGTCTGCAGTGAACAATTTCTAACTCTAGGGAGCCTCAAAAGGCATCAAGCCAAGGGGCATAACACAGCTGTTCTTAACATCTAGCATAAAGAGGAAGATAAAAGTGGAGACTTACTAGGAGTTGTATATTTTAATGACATGATACAGTTTTTAACATTAGTAATAAGCATGAAGAAATATTTAGGAACTACATGTTCTCTTTTTCTCATGACACATACTTATGCTTTGTTATTAGCTGAAAATATGTTTTCTCCTTGACAAATGTAAGCAGAATATGAAAGACATTAGACAGGTATTAGATCTGGTCTTAAAGTTTAGAATGAGATCTCTTTAAAAGTTATTTGAAAATGTTAGTGACTTAGAATATGCTTGTATTTCTCCCAAAAGTTATAAGTGCTGTATGACTATTCCTTGTTAACTTTTTTATAATAATAAGTATATAGTTTTCATTAAAATTTAATTTATATATTGTATTAATTGAACAGCATGAACAGTCTTGCTTTACATTAGTGTTTTATTAGAGATGAATTTTATAAAAATGCATGTAATGAACAATTTATATAGATTGTATTTGCATACTCCATTTTTAAAATATTGTGAAATTACATTCCCATGCAAAATGCACATAAAACAAATTTAATTTTAAGGAATCAGTTCCTGTACTTTTAGTATATAGATTTTAGGTAGCTATAAAGTGATATTTTTTTTTTCCATTTTCAATGTGATATTTAAAAATTACACAAAAGAAAAAATGCTTGAGTAATGTTTCACAAACAAAGGTTTATCAATTTGGCAACCAAATTCATTTGTAAGGGCTTGATAGCAGAAATACAAGATCATAAGAATCACAATGACTTATTTATTATTGTGTGTCATTTAGAACAATCTATTGATAGTGAGGTTCATTCAAATTAACATCAGAAATAATGACAGACATTGTGTAAAATAAGAATAAATAGGAAAATAAAAATTGTGTTTTCATTTATAGATAAAGTCTTACTATTCTAATACAGTATTTTAATAAAAAGTCAAAGAACTGAAATTATTCTGAAATATTACATAGTAATTAATGTTCATTGTTCTCAAAAAAAAAAGAAAAAAAAAGAAAAAAATAGAAAAAATAAATTGAGTTATATTAAAAATTACCCCCATTTATTCAGGAATGTAGATGGTTCATAGTATCTTAAACACAGTTGTTTAACCCAATGCCGATGGCCATAGCATGTACGTACATGCCACATGCCATGCCCACTGAGAGTTTACTTGTTTAATTGTTTTTACACATAGATGGCTGCACTTGTACTAAGTCACCAGTGAGCCAATTACAAGTACTGCCTGTCTTGCCCATTTACCCTTTTCTTTGATTTACGAAAATATTTTATGTTATTTTATTTTGCTGTTCCTAATGTTTGTAAAATTATAGTAATTACAATATTTATAATAAAAATAACACCATCTAAGCTCATAGCTTTAGTAAAAAATACTGTATGTTTTTTCTCACAATTCAAGAAAAGGTGAAATCAGGTAAGCTCACAAGGCAGAACCATCTATGTGCAGAGATATTTCACAAAAATATAGAAAATGAGCACAGCATTTTCCTCATTTTTTATTCATTTTATAATATATATATATATATATATATATATATATATATATATATATATATATATATATATATATATATATATAGGCACCCTTTCAGATTATGTCACTGTCATGGATGGCTATCAGATTCAACTGTACTCTACCTGTTAATTCTCCTACAACTCAACCAAAAAATTTGATTGCCCTCAATTTAAAGTAGATTAGCTAATCATTCAGAGCACAACTACTTCAGACTAATATATTGCATACAGTGCTACTCCTAAGTCCAGCATTAAACTTTTAATCCTATTTTACTTTTGTGACACTACATCATCCACTGTTTTTTGGATATAATAATTTTTAGAGAACACCCTCATATAGTCTAGAAAAGAAGGTAATAAAAACAACAACAAAAAAAATGTAACAGCTCTAGGGCAAAGGGAAATTTAATGGAATACCTGCTGTTACACAAAACTGAATTATAGCCAAGGTTTAATTTTATGAATTTGGGCAAGCATAACCCAACTTCATACCTCTGTTGTCATTTTTTTTTCTGGCTAGATTCCTAAATATGGAATCTAGCAAATCACATTTGCTATCTTTAAGAATAGTATGAATGATTTGCCAGATTAATACCATATATGTCCAATGTAGCTCTTGTGAAAGATGTGTTTCTGCATGCAAAATGGAAGTTATTAAAGTTTTTTTTTTTTTTACTCTGTTTATGCTTTAAAACAATATAATTTTCATAAGTAATTTTAAATAGGGCGTCTTGGTCTGACTGAGAAACGTGCAATTACCTATATCAGTGTACATAACCTGCAGATGCAATCCTTTTTATTAAAATTGTAAATATTTTTAAACTAGAACCATTTAGAAAACTTCAAAAGATGTTTAGCATTAAGTGAAAAAAAGAACATAGATGATCCATTAGTATTTTTGTGCATCAATTGGCTTGACTTCATAAGCCATATTTTTGGAAAACAAGCAAAGACACAGACACACGAACACGCATATGTGAGCGCACACCCACACCCATACAAGTACACTGGTAACTGTGCTAAATGATTAATTTATTACATATAAGTACATGTAATTAAACAATTTGATTGTTGCTGTAACCAAATAATACACATACATACATACATACAGACACACACACACATACGCACGCACGCACCCCCCCCCCCCACACACACATATATATATTTTTATACACATATATATTTATATATTTTAAGAAGTTCGAAATTTAAAATAAGTAAAACAAAAATCCACGTAGTAACAATCGTCATCGACTAGTGATTCCAAAATACATGTACATTTTCCAAGAATCAGTTTTAAGATATACCTGATTGAGAATACACACGAAAAACGTGTTTTATTTGTACAGAGCGGTGAACACGACTTTAGGCGATGTATTGTGATAAATTGTAACGTAATGAATCTAGTAAAATGATATGAGACAGACTACACTGCGTCAGAGAACATGTATAGTAAAAAAAACAAGTATGGATCCTGCAACTACCCCGTAAAAAAATGATACGCATCTAAAAACAATAAAATTAGTAAAAGTTCAGTGATGTTATCCCCAACAAATAATAACAAAAGGTGCTCTCCCTAACAAATGCTTGGTAAAAAAGGGTGCTATCCCTAACAAATGATCAATGACAGAGGGTGCTATCCCTAATAAATGATCAATGACAGGGTGCTACCCCTAATAAATGATCGAAAGCAAAAGTTCTTCAAAAGCTCAAGGCAGATGATGGTCGGGATTGCTCTTCCGGTTGTCCCAAGAAACGGCCAGAGGCATAAAAGCCCAAAGGATGAAGTTAGCCACCATCATGGACGCGAGACAACTAATGCCGGCAGTGTAGCTCTCTGTGGCGTCGCGGACATAACCTGTGAGGAAGACGGGTGAAGTCATTAATTTTGGAGTCGTTACTTTTGGACAGATAGAACTGATATTTTGAAAAGGGATACTGCACATCAAATTTGCATGTGAGGTTAAGTGGCAATACGTGGTTACGTTATTTTTTCCATATAACTGGACGTGCTCTCATTCAGTTTAAATATGTTGTTTTCTAAATCCTCTGGTATTTAATAGAACAAAGTAATAATCAAATATTCTGCTACTAACAATAAATGACTCCGATTTAGAAGCGGTATATAACGATTGTAGCCATTTGCTAATGTAGTTGTAATGACAAACTACTATCAACATGTCTAATAAGACAAATGTAATTAGTGATTACGGCAAATAAGGATGGGCGGATGTCGTTAGCTTGTTAGACGTGTTAGGGACACAGGCCGGGCAATAGCTAGAAGGCATGGGCGAAGCTAGAACTTCGCAAACCTCATTTGTATTGTACCGCCTATCTTGAGATATGTGCTCGGTACACACGTACTATTTAGGTAAAGGCTGCCCTGCATGAGGAGATGGGGGTAGTTTGAGGGTCGAATTGGCCATTCGCCCTCAAACGACTCGCCCACTCCCTGGGCAGAGTGCGTCGTCAAAGCCGCTTGGCTGACAGGCAGACCACTACCAGCAGTCGATAGAGTAACATAAGTTATTCGTATTTTTACCGCTGTTATTTGCAATTTTGTCATTATTTATATTTAAAGTTCCTTTTTATTGATGCTTTTATATTTTACGTTTTTGTAAATAAAGAATTATTTCATAAATTGCTTTTATTTTCTTTTATATATACTCTGCCCTCGGTACTGCTGTCTAACTATTCTGCAAGCTCGACCTCCACGGCAGGCGAGCTCTTGGCGTCACCGAAGCCGCTTGGCCCTGCGCTACCATATAATCATAACAGGTCATTTACTACATGCTCACTCCTTTATTACGCCCATTTTAGCGTTCTTGACCCTTTGCAGTCACACGAACACGCAGCACGCACTGACCTGGAATGGGGCCGATGATGAGGTAACCGAAGGAAACAACGAGCATCGTCGCTCCGAACGTCGGCACGAAGTCATCCAGTCCCATGTAGTCGATCATGATCAAAACGTAGATGCTCATGATGATACCTACGCCGATGCCCCACACTCCTAGTACAACTGTCAGCCACAGGACATCCTCCATTTGTGTAAAGGCTGTGGGAGGTATAGGAACTTTAGGATGGTATGAGAAATCCAGAAGAAAATGTCTTTACTGTCTTGAGCTGTTTTACAGGGAAACAAAGTCAGACAAGAAATACTGTTCGGTAAGATGATTTCACTCCTCCCGAGGCAAGACTTTTTTATATAGCCCCCCCCCCAAAAAAAAAAAAAAAAAAAGTGAAAATGGCCACTTAGAACAGAACTATACGAAAATACGCATTTTATATCCATAACTTTCCATCTGATAGTCTATCAAAATGTGAGATATCTTCAAACCATTATAACGAAATACTTCATGGTGAAGAAGTCAAAACAAAACATATTTCTCACCTATCATTGAAAGGGCGACGACGAGGCTTCCAAACATGAAGAAAACCCTCATGTTGAACTTGGGCAAGTCTGTGAGCGGCGACACGACGACGCGGATCAGCATGCCGCACAAGGCTGCCACCGAGACGCCTGTTGCTACGTCATGCAGGCTGTGGCCGGCCTCTTGCATGGCGAAGGGCAGGACGTTTAAGAAGTTCTCGTTGGCGTTGAGGGTGAGTGTTATGCTGAGGGCGATGACAACGGCTCTTGCGTGTTTCAGGATGCAAAGGTCCGCCAGCGTGGATTTTATCAAGCGAACTATTGTTGAATCTTCCTGCTTTTTGGTATTTTCTTTGGCAGCAGGATGTGGCAACTTCTGTAGTTCTGGAATTCCGTCTGGTAGACGATCGACTTGTGGCACTTGCGACTGGTTTGGTTGCCTTAGTGTATCTGGTGATTGGGGGGATTTTGGCTTCCCTTCTTGCGATTGCTTGCTAAGGATATTTTCTGCAGACGCCTGAGAATCCGGGCCCTCGTTTGATAACGTGGGTGCGTCAGGGACCTTTCCTTGTGAGGGCTCTGGCCTCACGCCCTCTGACTTCTCTAAAGGCTTCAAATGCCACTCAACCGGATGGAAGACTGCAGCTCCGACAGCGCAGTTGAAGACAACAGCTCCCAGCACTAGCGTAGCCCCTCGAAAGCCGTACTGCGCCTGAAGGAAATTGATGAGAGGAGGCCCCAGGAACTGGCCGCCCCCCTCCCAGGCCATGAGGACTCCGTTGGCCAGGCCTCGCCGCTTATTGAAGTAGAACGGCACGATCATGCAGCTGATGTTGTACAGGACACCGCAGCCAAGACCTATGAATTGTGCGAGTGTGAGGACGTGGTGTAAGTCAACTGAAATGACCTCATAAAAGGACATTAACAATAATGTGGTACTGAATATGGACGTTGATAATGCGTTGATATAACCATTAGTGGATAAAACAGATTATATTAAACAAACATTTTATATTGTTTGAAATAGAGCATGCCTCATTATAAACGACCCAGAAACACC